ATTGCCCGATCCTAAATTATGCACACGTGGTGGCTAGCGATTGGCTTGCTAGCCGTATAAAGAGCTTGGGAGGTTTCCACCCAAGTTGGAGAGCGAGAGAGAGAGAGAGAGAGAGAGATTAATTGGAGTTTGGGAGAAAGAGCGTGAAGATTTCTAAGCGCTGCTAATCCCTTCGAACACAGCTTCTTTTTCTTCTCCTTAAGAGAGCAATAGAGGGCCGACTTACCGAACCCACGGAGTCTTAACAACTCCGGGGGACCTATTTACCGAACCCAGGGAGCATCAACCACTCCGGGGGCCAAACGGCCTCTAGCCTCTCCCCGTCACCGAGCGTGATCCTAGACGTATCCCTTTCCTTTGAAACTGCCGAACCCGCGGAGCTTCAACAACTCCGGGGTCAATTGTCGGAGTCCTGTAGCGAGGACTTAAGCGGAGCTGAACCTGGGAAACTGTCCAGCCTACACCACAACCATCTTTGGTGTAAGTAAACAATCTTTTAATCAACCATTACGCATCTGTAACTAATTCTAGCTCGCCACCAGTTTTCTTCGACCCCGCGTGCCCGGGCTGCTGGCCACAGCCCGTGTGCGCAGAAACGGGTTTGCATACCGCTCCTAGCCCGCACATGGCCGCATGGACGGGATCGGGAGGCGGCCCGCACAATACCCATAAACAACAGTAATATAATTGGATCACAAATATCACTTTACCTGAAAAAATTAAATAAGCAAATAGAAAATAGAAAACAAAAAGCCCCAAGTCATACATTTCAAAGATCTAAGAACAATTTGAATTTGCGTGTTACATTTCAATCAAGGATCAAAAGGAACTTTACAAATATGAGTATTAATTTTATTGCACTCATATAGAGACAGAGAATCCGAGGCATAAAGAAGTAGCTTGATTACAGTTAGATAGCAAACACATGACAGAATCAGAATTAAAACCGGGTCTTCTGTTCAATTAATCTCCAAACCACACTGCCTCAGTTCCCAACTTTGCATATGCAGTTACTCATTTGATGCCTGAAACTTCCTGTATGCATATGGAAATACAGAATCCTAATATAACTCAAATATGGGCAGTTGTACCAGGTACATATGTATTTGTCCAGGCACATGTGCTGTATCTTCATTATAAAAATCTATCCCACAGAAATAGGATATCATGTTTGTATTGTTTCCTTCCTGCAAACATCATGCTGTTTCTTTAAGGCTTAAGATGCACATTAATATATATAAGTTATTGCTTCATCAAAATTGTGTATTCCTACTGCATCACTGTAGAGTTTCTATTGATTTATTGTTGTGAGGTACACTTAATAAAATGTATTTGGATTCCCATGAATCCACAAGACATATCTCAGTTCCTGAGAGAACTGCCCTTTCTTCATTCATGAAGAGCATCAAAAGCAAGAAGCTAGGAACCCCATTTTAAAGTCTTCAAACTGGCAAGCAAATCAAATGCACTGAAAAACACAAAATCATCGCACCAAAGGCCTTAAAAAAGTGAATGAACTTCTTTGCCCTTTCAAGGAGGATTTTCATTACATCCTGTCAATTTGAATATTTGAAGCTGCCATGATGATGGAATTATTTTCAGTTCAGTGTTTCTCAGGATGGTCTTTTGTCTGATGTTACACAACAAAACAAACATACAGGAAAATTGACTAAGATTCTGCTCATTAGACCAAGAGGAAAGCAACTTTCTCACCTTTCCTTATCAATATTTATAACTTTATCAATATTAAACATGCCTCACTCATCTTGATGAAGTTTTTCTTAATTTGTAAAAAAACCCAACATCAACATTAATACACAACCTCTCTATCTTTTTTAATGCATGCATTTCAGCTACCCATCATAGGCCTAATTTTTAAAGGTCCCTTGACCCAAACTCATTTAGGTGGGGGAAAAAAATGTGCATGTTTATAGGTCAGGCCAGATGTATGTACAGTGTATATATATAATTTATATTTGTTGTACGTGTATCTCTTTGCAGGCAGGACATAATTCACACATAAATAAAGTGCAAAAATCATAAAATATCGCTTTGATCAAGGAGAACATGCATACCCATTAAAATACTTTGTAGACAGGTCAGTGCCATTGAACAGCTCATTTTCCATCCACTGGCTAGTTCTAACCTTAGAAATAATTTTGTTGGCTTCATACTCACAACAGACAGGAGGGCACCATGTGTAATTCTGGACAGCAGCAATTTAGCTTATTGTCCTTCCTTAACCTCTCTTCATTGAAACTATAACATCTTAGGGGCAAACTGCCTGTGGATAGAGACCTTGGAAATAGTTCCCTACTCTGTCAGTTCTGTAACTTTCTACAGGCCTAGAACAGAAAAGAGAAAGAATTTGTTTTAACCTTAACCAGTAATGACAACCATAATAACACTCTAAATGTTTTATTAGTATATAAGTTTATTTGTTATCTGCTTAGTGTCAATAGTTCTTAACTGACTAGACTGAGCATGCACAGCAAACAGATTAATAAAAGAAATAGTTTAATCTAAAGAGGTTTTTTTTTTTAAACATGTGACTACTGACAAATGAATTTCCATGTTTAACAATCAACAGACATAATGAGCTCTGTAGGCAGACTGTGCATACATAACCCAGAGGTTGAAAGCCTGGGTCATTGAACCTTGACCATTAATGGTAATATTGAGAGACTCTAAACAAAGTCCTGTACAATGGTTGGGGACTGTAAGGCAAGGCATTCTGAAAAAAGCTAGACAGGAGAAAGTGTTTTTTGCTTCCAGGACTCTGTCTTTAAAATACAAAGAACTAGAAACAAATCTATCTCCAAGACACAGTATAAACAAAATACGGTTTGTATCTACTGAATGACAATATTTTAATAGCCAAAACGGTTCTATTACAGTTTCTCAAGTTCATTAATATACTTCTAAAAAGGATTTAATGAATATTTCATTCTCATATTTTGTACTGATGATTGACACACTTTCCAAACTTCTGCTACTGCAGGCAGGTTTAAGAAATTGGTTTTATCTAGAAGGCACTTACTATATTCATGTAGTCATTCCATGGATGTGACAGCTAACATAACATAAATTGCCAAGACCAGATAACATGCCCTCAAATAATTCTGTCTCACTGCCGTTCCTGCTAGTCAAAAGTTATTTTCAAAAGTTGTTGAATGGTGTACCTATTTCTAAATGAGGGGGGAAAAACACTGCCCAGCTTGAGTCATTAAATTAGTTGTGTGTGTATTGTAGGATTTGAAGAATGGTTACTCTAAAAATATATTTGAAAATACCTTTATTTTTGCCAACAAGCCCTGCACATGCCTAATGGAATAACAGAGTTTTTGCTTTAACCTGCTTTATCCATTACCCTCTTACAATACACCTTAATTCATGCCTGAATCCTGGGATCAGATATCCCTAAGCTAAAACTGACGTTCACATGCAGAATGATTGATATCAGCAAAGTTCCAATGGGTACTGGAATCAAACTATGAACTTTGGATCTTAGACCAGTGACGTAACTAAGGCAAGACAACAGGGGCAACAGCCTTGGGTGCTGACAGGGGTGGGGAACAAGAAAAATAGCTTTTGCCACAGCTGTACGACTGCAATTGTGGCAACAGCAGAAACCATAAGTTGTCACTGCCCCTGTATTCAGCAGCTGCCCTAAGTGCCCAGCCCCATTTTTATGCTGCTGTCTCAGGCTATGAGCTCACATTCTCCACAGTCTTTCACCTTAGTTAACTACACCTGGTCCAGCTGTGAAGAAAGATGGTACAAAAGGTATGCAATTAGAGATTTCTATTTTTTGAAGAATGTGTTGGAATGTGCCTTCAAGAGTATGGGGCTATATTTATTCCGCTAAACAGGTACAGCACAAATAACAGAAATACAAAGAGCCTAGCACTTCCTGATTATGATATTTATTCAAATCCAATACAAGGTTTCTCCCCCACATTTAACACTGGGAAAAAGCCTTTCTTCTTAGATTTGAGTATGAGGAAGTATGCGGGGAGGGTATGCATCTGTTAGGGCTCTGGCCCCAGCTCTGACTTTGGCTCTGGCCCTGACCAAGGGTGAGGGTTGCAGCTGCTGCCTGCTTCCTCACTGCTTCTGCACCCCTGCAGCCTCGGCTCTCCACCTTGCCTCTCCCCTGCAGCCTTGGCCCCCCACCCTCCCTCTTTCTCTGCTCCCTCTCTCTGTAGTCTCTGCTCTCCGCACCTGCCACCACCTCACTCTGTTGCTTAACTTTGTTCCATTCTGGCAGGCTCCAGCCCCGCTTCAGCCTGGGACACAGAGCAGGGTCCCAGCTCAGCCAGTTAGAGGTGGCAGCTCTGGCTGGGCCCTGGAGTTGCTGTGGGGAGAGGGAGGTAAGGAGACTGGCATGGGGGGACAAGTGATGAGGGGCAGGCAGCAGGGGTCAAGGTGTGTGGGAAGGGGAAGGGGTCAAGCTGTTTGAGCCCCCTTGCCCAATCCCCAATTGCTGCCCCTGCCACCTGTCCCCTACTGCTTGCCCACCTACTGCCCCTGCACCTTCTTCCCACCACCTCCTCATCTACCACCTCCCTACTGCCTCCCCCATTGTCTGCCCTCCTGCTACTACTTTCCCCACTGCAGCAGTGGAGGGGAAATGTTTAAGATGGCCCTCTCATAATTAAATTCTATATATAGAAAATCATAACAAAGTTAATAAATGTTCCATATATAGAATCTAATTACGGGGGGGGGGGGGGAAATCTTAAATTCAGGGTCATCTTGGATTTGGGTAAATATGGTAATTTGTCTCAGGCTTGACCCAGAGGGATATATTCCAGAAGAGTAACAGTTTAAATTCCATACTTATTTCAAGCATGGCTCCTCTTCTGCAGCTATCAACAAAGATGGAGATTACGAATTTCATTTTACATTGACATTTAGATAGATATCCGATGGCAAATATTTGTGACCATCTCTTATCTGCATTAGATTCATAGCATCTGATGAAGTAAGTTGTTGTCTACGAAAGTGTATGCCTTTCTGAATGAGTTAGTCTCTAATGCCCCTGGCAGATGTTATAATAATAATGCGATTAGATTATAAGGAATTTTATGCCCCATTCTAACCATCATACATCCTGCCGTATCAGACATACATGGTAGAACTCATGATGTTTAGGACGGGACATAATATTCCTCATATCTCAATCATGCCATTGTGGACCTGTGGATCAGGCAGGAAGCAGCTCTTTCCCAGATTCTGGAGGAGCCTCATGTTTGATCCAGAGTCTTATCTGAGCATAAGCAGCCCATGGATTGGGCTGGGAGTAGCCTTGGGATCCCTGATTGTCCAGTGCTGGTGACAACAATCAGGTTGAGCTATATGGCATGGGTGCTGACAATCAGATGACTGATAGTACCAACCCCAGGACAGCCCCAAGTCCAGTTCCAGGCTGGGAGCTGGCTAGGTCTCAATGCTGGTAAACAGCTGATTCTTGATACTGGGATGATGGGAATGCCCATATTCAATTTATGGCACCATTCAAATAATCCAAAAAGATGTTCCACATTTTTAGTGGAATATCTTTGTCACTGGTTTGCCATTTTATGGTGCAATAGCTGTGATGAACCTGTGGCATGCTATTATTTATGGAGCGATTAATACAGTGATTGCACCATAAATGTAACATACGCCAGAAGCCTAAATTGCCACCCTCCCCTGCCTTCTGCATAGATTCTAATTGAATCTAATTCTAGATTCTAACTGGGCATAGTAAACACACTAGAGGGTAGGGAGCGAATTCAGGCAGATTTGGATAGACTGGGGAAGTGGGTGGAGCAGAATAGGATGCAATTTAACAAAGGTAAGTGCAAAGTGCTGCATCTGGGGAGAAAGAATCACCAATACACCTACAGACTGGAAAGTAACATTCTAAGTAGCACAGCAGTGGAAAGGGATCTCAGAGTCATAGTCAACTCAAAAATGAACATGAGTCACCAGTGTGACAAAGTAATAAGTAAGCTAACCACACTCTGTCTTGCATTAGTAGGTGCATCACAAGCAGGTCGAGGGAGGTGATGCTTTTCTTCTATGCAGCTCTGGTGAGGCTGCAGCTGGAGTGCTGCGTCCAGTTTTGGGCGCCGCACTTCAAGAGGGATGTGGATAACCTGGAAAGGGTTCAGAGGAGGGCATCTCATATAGTTGAGGGCCTGCAGGTAAGATCCTATGAAGACAGATTGAGGGATCTGAATCTCTTCAGTCTCCGCAAGAGAAGGCTGAGAGGTGATCTTGTGGCTGGCTACAAACTTATCATAGGATAGGGAGTCAGCAGGAAATAGGGGATATTCTGTTTACCAGAGCGCATAAACAATAGCCATAAACTGAAGGAGAGTAGATTTAGATTGGACATCGGGAAGAAATTCTTTACACTGAGGGTTGCCAAAATATGGAATGGGCTTCCAAGGGAGGTGGTGCTTTCCCCTGCCTTGGAGGGGTTCAAAAAGAGATTAAGACAAGCACTTGGCTGGGGTTACTTGATCCCAGCGCTCTTTCCTGCCCAAACAGGGGGTCAGACTCGATGATCTAATAGGTCCCTTCCAACTGTAGAAATCTATGAAATCTATGACAACCTGGACATGAAGGGCTTGAATACCATTACCAATTTGCTGAGTCGCTCAGTATGCCAGAGACTATTGTTTTCATGCAAAAGTCTTTCTGCTTGAAAAGTTGTTTTCTGTGGGCAATACAGTCCTCTCAGCCTGCAGTTTCAAGTAGCATGCCCCTTTGTCATTCCCCTTTTCTATCTACAATATGGGCAGAAGATTTTTATCATAAACAGAAACTATAAAACAAACACAGAGAAAATAAATGGTAGTGTGGAACAAAGGTTTTATCAGCAGAAGCCTGTGAGTCAATGGTGGCAATGGGTGTGTTATAAGAAACCATGAGGGAAATGCACTCCTAGCAGACAGAGTACAGGATTTGCAGTTTATCAACAAATACCACGTCCAGATATAGCCCAAATATTATATCTATCACAGCTTCCCAAGCTTATTATTACAGTTGTACTAATATGATTTATTGGAGGTTTTATTTCATGCTGATGACCAAGTTTCTGCTTTCTGTATTAGTTCCCTTGCCCTGGCCAATAAACTGATCCTCCAGGTTAAGTTAGCTATTATTTGCATGCATTGTTTATATTATAACAGTACCTCTATGGCCCCTATGCTTATTGGGACCTAAATTGCTAGATGTTGTACGAAGAAAAAGTTTTTTTTTTCCCCATTACAGCCATTACTACAGTAAGAGGAGGTAAGGCAATTTTTTGTCTACCTTAGTATGTTTTCAAAAGTTTTCGAAGATAAATTATTAGTTCTATATATATATATACACATGTATACAAACACATACCAACCATATTGTTTTTATACACAATGTACGGGTATACATTTACACACACACAAAATCTAAAAGTTTTGCCAGAGCTACTATATTTTACATAACTTGCTGCTTCATTTAGATAAATATAAATAATTAAATGATTTAATGAGATGCTAATCCACACAGACGTTTGCAATCAGTCTTTGTTCATCTCAGTGCGAGAATTTGCACCATGTGTTTTCAGGCAGAAATTTACAAGTGCTATCTGTTCAAGTGTGCAACTTCACACAATAGAACAAGAAAGCGGTTTGCAGTGACTATGAAATTATACAGTAAAGGCTTCAGAGAAAGAACTATACATTAACAAAGGGGTTTTGTTAAGTGACCTTGGTTTTGTTTCTTGTAACCATGGAAAAACAACTGGAAAAGGTATTGTCAGAAAAATCTATCCATAGGTGATAAACAGCACACCATCCTAAAGGGTGTTTTGTTTTATTCCAATTCCATTTCAGTGCTTTTCCCATTCATTTCCCTACCATGCACCCCTCCCCACCTTATTGTTCACTGTGTAACACAACCTATTATGATCAGATGGGAAATGAGTTGGCCTGGATATTATAATTATGACATGATTTGCATGGGAGTATAAGAACACTGAGGGAGAATTTGAAAGAGATGGAATGAAATGAAATAAAATTATTAACTATATGCTCTAGTAGTGATGTAATCAAGGCAGGATATCGTTCAATTCCCACTCTGCCAGAATCAGGGGCATAGCTGATGGAGTTGTCAGGTTTTTTAATTTGTTGAGTAAACGGCTCATTCCAATCTTCAATTCCCAAAGTAGGCAAATAGCCAATTATTCCTAGTAGAAGTCACTGAAATTTGACAGTCCATGGAAAGAGATTTGAAATTCTGAAGTTGAGATAACAGTGCATAAAGACCAAAGTTTTTACCTTTATGGCATTAATAAGTGGTATTTCATGTTCACATAATCAGCTAGGTCCATAGATTTCTTGTGGCAGGAGAAAGTGATTGGCTTAATGCAGCACCCAGCTGCTGCTCTGAAAGCCAGGTTCCAAAGGTGTATTTCTGGGCTGGGGCAGTCGGACATCAGCTATACCACCTCAGGCCCAGGGCTGGGTTTCTGAGACCTATGACGCTTTTTGGACTAGTTTCACAATATGCCGATGCAATAACTAGACCTGGTCAACTGCAGAAAAACCACATTTGCAGTCTGATCCAATTAAGTCCACAGACAGCTATACAATTGCACTTAATCTTTAGGGAAATAAAAGTTCCTTCCAGAACATTCATATGGACAACTGTGTGAGGAAAATACCTTATTTCTATGGCTAAGTGTGTGTTAGATCAGGAAGTATTTGTCTGGCCATCATAAATATGCACATGCATGCACACCTGGTGTGAATGTAAGAACAACAACAAACAAAACGCTGAGAGGATTGAATGTGAAAGTTCATTACGCAGCCAGTAAATCTAGCTTGTCCAGCATTCTTCTTTCTTTCTTCTTCTATCATTTTTAAATCTGGTTCTTTATGTAAAATTCCAACATAGTTGTTTTTTGTGCAAAAGGGAAAAATAAAACCAAAGTTCAAATGATCTGAAATATCTAAAAACGGTTTGTCACCTACAATGCTATTCTCTCTGTAATATGCTCCTGCCCTTTTCTTGACACACTAAACATCCTAACCATTTCTTCACATAGTACTTTTCCTCTTCAAGTTTAGGCCAAACATCAGGAGCAACTCCATGTATTTTATGTGACCTCTACTCCATGTATTTAATGGGACCATTCAAAAGCCAACCGAATTTGAAATGTTCAAAAAAACACTTGTGCCATAGTCCTTGAGGCCAACACACCCAAATATAGCTCTAAAAAATGATCTGAAAAAGTATTAATAAAAATACAAATCTGTCAACATCATAATGGGTTCCGAAGATAACTGAAATGGGGTGGATTGAGGGGGGAATACATAATTAATGAATATCTCAAGAAATGGATGACGTTGCTTTACAAAACTTGCACTATCATGTTAGTCTTCATCAGTACCTGACAGGGCTTATTTATGCGAGGCACTTTTGCATGTGCTCTGGGGGTGTGGGGCAGCACTTTAATTAAAGTGGCTTGAGAGCCACTTTAATTAATGTGTTGCCACATCTTCTGTATCAGCATCTCCACACTTAAAATTAGAGGCAGGGATGCTTGCATTAATGCTTGTGTGACAAGTTTTAGTTTAAGTGCCCCTGCCACCATTTTTAAGCACAGGGATATTGTGGCAATTGGCATGCTCCAGAGGACTCGATTAATCAATTAATAACTAACTCATTATGATGTTGATTTGATTAATTGAGTCTGCTCCGACGTGCTTGAATTCCAGTGTGTCGAAGCAGCCTCGGCACTTGTGTACAGGTGTTTGTGGATTCCAATTTTCACCAAAAAACGTTTACCCAACTCTCATTTACCTCTTGACCTATTATATGTAGTTATTAATAAAACAGATGTAATTTTCAAAGGAGGGAGGTGGACTGTTCCTGTTCTAGCTGAAACTTAGTAAATACAAAGGTCTGGAAAGATGAAGCAACTAACTCCCCCCCCCCCCCCCCCTTTTTTTTTTTTTTTTTACTCACATCCAAAATATTTGGAATCTAAAACAATTTTGCTTGGGTTTCATTCAAGTTCTGATTGAAAGTCAGCTTTTGTTTAATTTGAGCTAATTCCTCCATTCCCAACTATTATGCATGTCAACCATTTCTCAAAATTTATGACCACTTGCTTTAAAAACTGAATATTTGTAAGCCACCACCATGAACACTTAAGTGCTCTAACACATGTGGAAGAGACTTTCAAGATCTAATGAAGAGAAATAAAACACCTGGGCTGATCAGCCTCTACAGTCAGTTAGAAAACCAACATATAACCTTAGCCAGGGGTGGCTCCTGGCAGGGTGCAATGGTACAGTTGCACCCCCACTTTGATTCCTGCTTCATGCAAAGTTTAAAACCAACTGCCTGGCAGTGGCAGCAGCATTTCTATTCACGTAGTACTAAGGGAGTCAATTGATTTAATGGCTCACTGTAATCCCTTTTAACTCTGCATTCTACAGGTGTGAGCAACCCTCTCTTCTTTTTAATAGTCTTGATGTTCCACTGATCAAACTATCCTTTGTTTTGTAATTCTGCTGTTATCTGCTGCTATAATGAATCTCCTATTTCACAGCCCTGCAGATTGTTTTTAACTCATTCCAATGAAGTGATATTCATTTTTACTTTAATATTAGACTAAATAATACAGCCCTAGGTCCCTAGCATATTAGTAAAGTTCCTAGTTTATTTTTCACTGAAGAAAAATATGTGCTGTTTTATATGCGATGATGCACCCCAACATCTGCATCCCCCTTTTCAAAATTCTGCATCCACCCATGACCTCAGCTGCATGATTTACTACTATGTATCTGCTTATACTATTTTTGCAGCAGAGTGAACTTCAAATATGGGGGGACCACTGAGTAGAAAGCTCCATGATTGGCTTCCACAATGTTCAAAAGCCATCAGGCTCATGGGTTCAAATGAGCTTGGATGATAACAATTCCAAGGTGGTTATACAGTGTAACTAAACTATTTAGGTTTCATATAGGGAAGCCACTACCTGGATATTACCTAGTTGTGAACTCGAACCTTTTAAGATCATGTATATTTAAATAAATGAGCAGCTGCTGATATTGTACTGAGACACATTTATATTACCTTGACAGGGCAAGACAGGTTTCTAATCAATAGGTTAAATCTGGACACCAGTCCAATTCTAATGAACCACACTTCATCCCATACAAAGCCATTAGTGTGGAATACTGTGTATATATCACCATTAAGCATTTCAGGTGTCATCAATGGATATATTTGGCTTCAATTCCCAGTTCTAAAGCACAGGCAGGCATCAGGATGTGCTCCCAAAACCATGATATTTTAGGATGCAGTCAACATTGTTTTAATGCAGCTCCCATAGAAGTCAATGGGAGTTTTGTTGCCAACTGCAATGGAAGCAAAACTCAGGGAATACCGAGAACTTTGGAAAAATATCATTTCTGGCCCCCTCTGTCACCCCCTCTCCCCATTCCCTCCTCTTATTTCATAATTTTTAGTGTCAGTGTTTTATCAGTTTGAGTCTTACTTTTGATCTGTTCACTTGGGCCTCAACTGTTCTTTAAACACTTCAGTTGGTAGCTTCGATTGTCAAGTCCAGCCAAGCTGTGCTCAGTGCAGAACCTGAAGACAAAGGGAAATAAAAAAGTGTCTTTAAAACTTCTTGGAGCTCCCATGATCCTCAAGCCTGCTGAAAACCATTCCAGGTTGCTCTTACTTAGCAGAGGATCCTTGTCATAGCCAAGGATTGCCTAACTAGTTATATGAGCTGAAAATTGTAAGGGGGCATTGGAGGGATCTATATACCAAAGGAATCCCTAAACTGGCCAAACAATGCTAGATTTAAGCCTTATTGGGGCTGAAAAGCTAGCCCTCCAGACCAGCTACTTTTGAGCTTATGCCTTCCTTTCACAGGCTATGAACAAGCATTCACTGCACCCAGTTTAGATCTAAGAGGCTTCCTTTAAGCTGCCTAGACCTAAACTGGAAGCAGCACATACAGTAGTTCACTACTCTAGGAACAACATGGGCAGCCCGAGATAAGCAACTCAGGGTGGGAGGAGGGGCAGGTGGGCCTGGGGTGGACTTGGTGGGTCTGTGGGTGGTGGGAGAGGGATTGTCCAGTTGTGGGAGGTGAGGGGAGCTATAAATAGGCCAGTCAGGGTTGGGGAGGAGGCGTGGGAATAGCACAACCCCAGGGTTGGGGCAAGCAGCTGTGCTTTCCCAGCCCTGCGGCTGTGCTACAAATTCATTTCCTAAATCAGTTCAACACTTTCTCAATCTAAGTTTGTGCATCTCCTGAAGTGCATTAACTTAGATCAGGTGCACTATTTTTTGGCTGAATTGAGCCCTCTGAATGCCTGCACGATTGGGCATTTAGACCAACCTAATCTTATGGTTAAGTCAATCTAAAAGTAATGCCTGTATGTACCTATAGGAAATACAATCTCTTTTCCTATACTTCCCCTCTGTTGTCTTTCTCCATGTTCTTATCCCCCCAACACTTTATTGCTATTACATATTCTGTTGTCACTTCCCTCTGCTTCTGCTGACTGCTGACTCATTGAGTACCACCTTAGTTTATCTTTACATCTCTTCCCTCCGGTCACATTAACCTTTTTACATTCATGTTTGTATTTATTTCAAAGTTTGCCCAGCTAATCAGACATCAGCCCAGCAAGGAATGATCAATGGAATGCCTCCAAACTTTTCACAATCCAAATATGTGACATAATGTGTAATAAGCAACATCCACAACATAATAAAAAACCCATAGTCCTATAGGAAATGTAAAGTTCTCTGCAGATCCACTCAGACTAATTCACTCTGGGCAATTCTACATGTACCCCCTATGGTACAGTTGTTACTGCACTTGGATTTAATACTTGCTTTTTTAGCTGTTACTGTACAATCCCAGTAGTGCACAGTTATTTTTAGCAGCTACATTGCTGTAGCAATGCTACATAGTGAGCTACATAGTGAGGTAGTTCATTGCTCCGGTAACGTACTGTCAGCGTCATGGTTTGTGCCTGCCAACACCACGTCACTGTAGCGATGAGCTATGCTGCCATAGCATGTAGCTATGGTGACATCGTGTCACATGTAGACGTGCCTTCAGATTAATTCAGTGTCATAATTATTTATTTCTGATACAAATATTTTAAAACAATAAGAAAAAAGGGGCACCATGAATTTAGAAACTTAAGAATTTAGGAAACTCTATAAACAAAATTAAATCTGTGAATACAGTTTTGGAATGAGCATCTCTAATCAATGGTAGGGACCACTTACAGCATTATGACTGGAACTTGCCCTGTTGGAATTAATTACTTGGAAAATGAGATCTTGTTGCTGTTTTATTTACAAATTTGACAACATAATTCAGTGCTTATAACTATTAGAAATTAGGAAAGTTAGGATCCAGCAGCAAGTCACACAGCCCATATTTTTTCTTTCATGTTCCTAACTAGTATAAATAAATTACTGAGAACAGTAGACCACCTGAACTACACCTGAACAGGTTGAAGTTCATAAACAATGGAATTATTATATTTCATATGCTGCCTTGATGCTAATTTGATTTGGTTTACATTCTAGTTAATTACCAAGTCTAGCTGCAAGCCACACTAACAAAAAGAGTGACAATTAGTATAATGTTAATGTTACAAAGGTAAAGTCATTAAGTGAACAAGTTAAGTCTTCAATGGGCAGTTACCTTTACTAGACAATTACTTCTACTGTTACCTTTGAATTCTCACCCCTCTTTCCTCCGAAGAGACTTGCCCCTCTCCAGAAGACCCAAATTATGTGGGTTTCCAATCCTCATGAATCTGTTGGACCACTTACACACCAGTTCTGGTGTCCTCTCCTCCCCAAGACCTTGCTTGGCCATGGGACTTCATGGGGAGTTGGGCCAAAAGGGAATCCTAATGTTGGTGTGTGCTTTTTTACCTAGCACTCAAAGTGTAAAGGAGATTTTTCCTAAAGTAACACAATTTGAAGTCTAATGAAATGCTGATAGCTTTGGGAATACTTCCCTACCCAGAAACAATTGTTCCTAGTGTCCCAGAAATTTGTGAAATGGTGCTGCAGTGACAAAGCTGTCACCTTTCTTATGTTTTGAACAGAAAAGAAAAGATCCACATGTGGATCCTCCATTCCATTTGCCACTGGTTTTAGGATGTTATTATACAGCAGTGAATAAGATCAATAAAGCAGAGCTACTGGTAAACTGCCTTAGGCTTGCAGGTAGCATAAATGTGTCAGATGCCTTCAATGTTAAAGACTACATAAATATTTAGGGACTTTAGCCACTAATGAAGTGCATTAGTCCTTAAACCACTAATAGATATACATAGACAAATGCACTCAATGATTTATGTTAATGGGTAATTCCCATTTCCATCTCTGGCTTACCGAAATAGATCACAATGCACATAAGTGTGCACTTAAAATGTGGCTATGTACATTGTCTCCATCACTCTTGGCATCAATACACAGACTGCTAAACAACTTCACTACTAATCAATCAATATTTTCCAAATGCAGACAAAAGCTGGGTAAAATTCTTATGAAAATGTCAATAAACTGAATTGTTTTGAATAAAACAAGGTTTTTAATTAAATGAACAGCTTCACAAAAAGTATTTGCTTTCCAGATTGAATGTCAAATGCTTTCCAAAAAAGCCCAAACCCTAGGAACAGAAATAAACTTTCAGTTTTTATCTTAAAATGGAAATACTGCAGTCAAAAACTGTAATACTTGTATTTTAAAATTATGTTGTAATACCTTATGAAATTTGAATGCATGTGCCTCATGTCTGCAGTACTGTACTCTGTTGTGCTGCCTTATATACTGGTTTATTGTGGAAGACAGTCCTATTAGGGAGTCTGACAAATAATTCAGAATGGGAGCATGAGGTACCTAAACTATAACTCCTAGAGCAGTGTTTCCTAGCTCAGTGATTTCTGTTTCTGGTTAAACTATATTTTTTTTCTGTCAAAAAACATTTTGTGTGCATGCATGTGCATGTGTGATGTGTAGAGGCCAGGAAGTATTTTCTGATGAAGGCTATCAGTAATATACTCCTTAAGGTGCGTTTGGTATTTACATTCCACATTCTTCAGCTACTGGTCTGCAAAGGTGTGGAAATATACAACATAGCAAGTATGCAATCTAGAATCCCAGAGGTTATCTAAAATCCCAGAGAATTTAGGAAATTTCCCAAAAAATCCCATTAGTTCAAAGTCTGAACAGAAAAACAAAAGTAGTGCTCAAATGTGAACTTTTTTGGGAAGTTATAAACCTACAAAGTCAAGACAGACTACTTTGCAGTCTCAAAAACAGTTCTAGTGTAACAATGTGTTACTTTAATCTTGCACACACACTGCAGGAGACTCGTCATTACTTGAACAGGTTGTTCAGAGAGGTATGAGATTTTAATAATATTCTGAGGCCTCTTAATTTACTGGAATTAATCCAAACTTTCTTTTCTTTTTTATAAAGTGTGTTAATTCGAAGCCAAGGAGAGAAAGGGTACCTCCTCAGCCCACAGGCATAAATAAGGAAGGAGAAAGAAAGACAAGAGCATGTAGGGTGCAAAATAGCTTTAACCTTCTGCATCAACATTTTTTTAAGATACTATAGCCACTAGATCCATACAATACTAAAACATACCCATTAACTTGTCCCAGAACCATCCATAGCCACCTCAAATCTTCTGCTCTGACCCAAGTAGGTCTACCATGGAGACCACTTTTGTGGCCTGCTGGAACAATGCAGACATGCTCAGACTGTGGGTGTGTCCTGTTCAGGAAGCTTAAAGAGGTTGTGTGCTACTCTTACATCCAAGAGATAAACTTTGCTTACTACACTATCACTTTAAACACTAAAACCACATCCAGATGTACAGGCATGTGCAGTTTGTGGCACCACAAACATCTTCGTGGTGTCACAAATGGCACATGTTGCATGTTAAAATGTGCGTGGGACTGCTAATTTGCAGTGCTAGGGCAAAAAAAAAAAAGCTGGAAAAAAAAGCAGTGACGTGCTGGGACAAATACAGATACGGGGATTGCCCAGGGCTGCCTGCTCCCCTGTCTCCACACACTGCGGAGGCTCCATCTCAATGCACCCTGTGCCCTAGCCAGCCATTCCCCAGCTGTCTGGGGTGCAGAGTGCCTTGAGACAGGGGAGCTGGCAGCCCTGGGCTGGCTGCTCCCCTGTGTCTGTGTGCCTCAGTCCGAGAGCTCTGCTGCAGCCCCGGACTGGCTGCTCCCCCATCTCAAGGCACACTGTGCCCCAGCCACCTGGGGAGAGGTTGGCTGGGGTGCAGGATATCTCAGTGAGGAGGTTCTGCCATGTATGGAGATGGGGGAGCAGGCAGCTTCTGTCTCCATGTGCTGCTCCCCAGCTGGCTGGGGTGCAGGGTGGCTCAGCACAGGGTCTGCCTGCCAGGTGGTCCCACACTGAACCACCCTGTGTGCCAGCCAGCCTCCCCTGCAGCACATAATGCAGAGTGACCATGTGTCCTGCTGCGAAGTGTATGGGCAGGGGAGTGCATGGCTACAAAGAGTAGTGGCTCAAATTTGGGCTGCTACTGTTTGTTGTTGCTGCAAACACATAACCCTGCTCCTGTGGGCACAGCCTAACAGTCTTAATTCTCCCTCCACTCCCACCCACACCCAAGATGATCATATAGGTTTAAACAACATTAATTTGTTGTTCACTCATTCTCTTACCATTGGGTACCTATAGATGTGCAGGAAGGCTACTTTAATGCGCTGTAATTACAGCATGTCAGAGCAGATTCGATTAATCGAGTCTGCTGGATCGAGTCTGCTGGAGCATGCTAATTAGAGCACCTCCAGCAACCTCTGTGTCTCAATGTATCAGCATCCCTGTGCTTCAAAATGGCAGCTTTAGTTAAAGCTCCTGCTGGAATTGCAGGGACGCTGATACACAAGACACTGTGGGCACTTTAATTAGAGCAGCTCTCGGAGTTGCTATAGTTAAATGCCCCCACCCCCATCCTTGAAGCACATGTAAAAACTTCCCTAGTGCTTGAGCCTCCTCATATGTTTGGACCCCATTCAGAACAAGTATCACTAAACTCCGCTACTAATAAAGATGTGTAACTTGCAGCAACAGTAATGGGAACTACACATTCACTGATGGCTGATTAGATGTTGAATCAAGCTCTTTATCAATACTAAATTCTCACAACACAAGGAATCCTAGCTATCCAAATATGACAGCATTTGCTGTTTCTAGAAACAACTAATTCTGAAAGCAATAGCTTGGTGGCACTGCCCCTTCTGTTCAGAAAACAGACCCGGACTCTGGAGACAAAGCAGGTAAAGTTCTTCAGTGTCCTATTTGATCAGATGTGTAAGATCTAGAATAAAAAACTTACAGATATCCCCCTGTTTGAACATATACAGTCAGCAGTGACAGGTTTGTTTAACCAGTGCTAACTGCTCTGAGTGAGCCTTTATTCTCCAAACACATTGCAATACAAGTAAAACAGCTAAGCTATTCAAGACTTATAAAAGTTCCATGCAACCAGTTAAGTAAAATAAAAAATGCAAATTGGGAAGTTTATTATTTTTTCAGTGATGTATTTGACACCACCTTTAGGAGACTGAACAAAGACACACTGTCAGAAGGGAGAAACCCGCACAAAATGTTACTGTTTATTCTTCATGAATGCAGAGGTATATTTAAGCAAAGAAAGACATTCCATTACTCTCCCGAGACTTCTTCATTCAGCCGAATTATAGTGCCTACTTCATGCCACTACAGTTCAGGTTGTGTCAGCACTTCAGGTACAGACCCCATTTGCAGGAGCCTATTACTTGGTCATAAAATTCATGGTAGACAGAAACTTGGCATTACTTGGTCTCAATTCCAGAGGAATTTTATTTGAATATAATTTTTAACAAGATTTAGTCACTCTCAACTGAAAAATGGAAAATGACCAGTTACAGACATTTCTTGGCCCTTTATATAACTTAAATATTATTCTGATAAAAAAAAATATTTGCCAAGCATTTGACTGTAATATAATAGTTTTTTTCTTCAAGCCTATTTGTTGGACCCTAATGAATCACACTTCTAGCTCAGATTTTCAGCTGTATGTCCCCCACATAAACACATATGTCCGCTTCTTGGAAACCCACATTCCCGCTACCAATGCTCTTCCTAAAAAGAATTTTCCCAAAGGCCCTCAGAACCCTTTTTTCAAATGAACCTTCACAGCTAAGCTGTCAGTCGCCCCACCTACCTGTTATTAATGGACAAAACATGCTTTCAATGTTGCATGGTGAAAGGAACTGGGTGTATGAGGAAAGGGGAAAAAATAACTGAGCTGGAGAAGGAAGAATTGGGGTATTTGGGCAAGGGATTAGAAGGCAAAAGCCTTCCTATTCTGGAAGAGGAACAGGTCAGAGAGAAGTGGGTGGGAGAAAGCACCTGGGTCACCTAGCACTGGGGCAGGAAGAAGCAAGAATTATATTGAGTAATGCAAATCCCACACAACTCAGTGCTGTGCAGGTAGCAGGCTCAAACACCTGCCAGCATGGGGAAGTAAGCATCAGAGAAGTACTCAGAAGTCCTCCATGTAGCAATCTACACTGCTATCTTAAGGCACTGAAACAGCCTTGTCTTTAGCATTGCTGAAGAAAACAATAACTTCTAGGATGTTAAATTTTCATACAACAATCCCTATTTTTAAAATCAACTTATTGCATCATTAAAACTACATAACTGCCATAATTAAAACGTAATACATTTCTATGAAAGTGTGTTTTACAAAAAAAGGAAGCCTAGAAGCCTCCCTATAAAAAGCCCAACAGCAGGTTTTCTGTTAGAAAACTGCCCCACGCAGCTTTCTCCTTGTGAAAATGTAACAGAGAACACAACACTGTATGTTTAAATGTAGATTTGCTTTTACAAGTGGCCCCTGGTTTCATTTTTTTTTAAAGTGAACTTTAATCACAGGGTTTTCTATGGCAAAGTTTGAAAAGCAACTATGCTGAACTGAGGCACACAGTACATAAGCACATAGTAATTGTGGTATACCTCAAGGTTCACAGTGTATGCAATCTGATGGAGTAGGTATCTGTATGCTGTCATTTAGTGCTAGCTTACTGCTTTGAGAAGTCAGACCATGCAACAGAAAGCTCATCATTGAAGCCTGAAAAAATTACTGGTCTCAAAACCGGAATTATCTCTTTTTTGGGGGGTCGGGGGGGTCGGTGGGAGGGGTCTTTGTTTTGGTCATAGTTAGGAAAGCCATCAAAAGGTAACTGACAAAATATCAGAATTTTTATTTAGGAGGTAACAGCATGTTAAAACTATATTTTCCCAGAAAAATGCTAACTTCCCATAATACAAAAATTATAATGTTTGAGGTAAATGGATCACAATACATAGAGACTTGTAAAACACAAGTATCCTTTTATTGGAGGAGAGAGAAGTTATACAAATATTGTATTATCAGATTTTAAAAAGCTTACTAGTAAACGTGCCTACAACTTTTGTTATATAGAGATATGCAGTAATATTTTTGGTAGAAAAATAAATTATGCTGCATATGTAAACAACATTTTAAGCTATTTTATCTGCAGTATGTGAAACAAGGAAGCAAAAATGCCACAAGTGAATCAGTGGGACAGTTTACTTTTAAACTGTTATGCACTGTACTTTGCTCCATAGAGAAATCCTGTTCATATAGAAAGTTGATTTCATTTAACTAACTTTTATAACCTTAAGCAAGGCAAGCAATATAAAAAAGAACTGTGGGTTTCAGTTAGACAATCAAACACTTTAGGTATAATAAATAACACTAACTACTAAATAAACTAATTTAAACCTCACTCTCTTTTAAGAAGTAGGGTTTGTAATTATAAAGTTAATATTTTGTAGAGTCTCAAGAACACAACAGTGAGGCAGGACTAGACTATTACCGCTACATAACATACACGTATTTGGATTTATATACAGAAATAGAACATATAGCCAAGAAATATTAGCAGTCAGTGGCAGGTTCTCTCTGAACATTAATTGGAAACTCAAGAATGTTAGTCATGAGTACAATAAGAAAGCATAAACCCTTAACAAAAATGACTTACCAGACGGACGAGTTCAGCTGTTTTTCAAGTACGGAGGAAGTAAGTGCTTGTGCCCTTGTACATAGAGATCTTGTTTATTTAGCCCTTTGTGAAGGGTTTACAATCCTAGGGCTTAAATTTAAGCCAAATCCAAGAGTCTGTAAGGAGAGAGAGAAAGAGAGAGGCATGAGCAAAAGAATCTCAGCTGCTGGCTGATGCTTCTGTTCTAGGAGCATTTGAGCTATTTTCAGCACAGACGGGTTTGCCTGCAATCAGTATGAAAATGCAATACTGAACAACCAGCCTTCCAACCAAAAATCAGGAAACCCACAACAAGGTTGTTCGTTGTCCAAATTCTATTTTAAAGAAACAAAAGGAACAAGAACAAGGGGTGCTGCTGAGGAGAAACAATCGTTTTTTCTTTTTTTTAAAAAAAGCACACTTAGAAATGTTAAGACCATTTTACCTATGGGCTCCCAAAATAAACCACTGTGGCTTTTGGTTTTTTTAGACACCACTAAAGATGCTGTGCCTGCTTTACATAGGGGTTGCTCTCTTAGGGGGAAATGTGTTCTCATTTTCTCATTTGCATTCAAGTGTGTTAGATCTAGCTAGCATGAGTGTTTGATGACAACTGTCTAAGATTGAAGCCAGCAGTTATTTCCAGCTTGCAACTTAAATTTTGGGTTTCATCAACTATGCTATTTTTTAACATAAGTGGCCTGAGGCTGTTGATACTACAGCTCCTGTCTGTCAGTGGGGACCAAAGGGCATTTATTAACTTGATATAGTAGACGTTCTTCCTCTACCCCAGCTATTGCAAAAACTTGGGAGAATTAAGTGTCAACTCAACTTAGGTTAATAAATCATAGAAAAAAATAACCTTAGATTTTTTTGCTTTCTGGATGCAGGGAAGGCCATTACTTTGGGGTTATAGGCAATGTCAGCAATCAAAAATCAGCAAAAAACAGTCATTCTCAGTTAACTTTCTGAGGTACTTCTGTCACATGAAGAAACTTTTCAGGCTGTTTTCTATAAATTTTTCCTACCAATTAAGACAGGCACAGCCTACTGTGCGTCATCAAGACAACTCTCCACATTCCACCACAACATTATGTTCTGTCTTTTACAACTCAGCTATTTCCCTTAGATGGAAGAAGTAGTGATCTAAGGTTACTTTCTAATTCACTTTCGAGTAGGCAAACTATAAAATGCTTTCAGTATATTTTCAAATCTAGCTCAGATTTCTATATAGCTGGTTAGTCATTTGAATGTGTGTTATAAGATCAGTCATGGGACTGCTACAACATATGATTTTCTCAGTGTATTATACACAATAGCACTTGAAAAATGTTTTATGGATAACTGAGACAGGATGTTAAACAAAAATGCAACAACCCAACAAAACAGGTTGACATTTGCTATTGTCAACAGAAACAAATAAGCACATACTCATTCCCCACTACTGTCCTATTAACAAGGACCCACCATTATTCACACTCTGATGAAACTATCAAACTATGCTTTTTCTTTTCTTTTTTCATTCATGTGCTAAGGGAAAAGATTTTTTTCAAAACTGATCCTTATACTTGTTAGTGTTTCTATTAGAAATAAATTAACTAAAAAAGAAGTCAAATTAAACATGATTGTATCTTTATTCCAAAGGTCAGTTCTTATTTATACAAATATGCTTACACAATAAAAAAAATGATGCAAAAGGGAAATCTTTAGCTCTTTCTCAATTGTATGAAACTTAGCACATCAATCTAGGACCCTTATTTTCCACAAAATTCAAAGAGTTCTAAAGAGAGTTCTGTTATACTTGACATGTATGGACAGGGTCATTTTAGGACACCCTATTCTGATTGGGTTTGACTTTTTTTTTCATTTAGTTAACTCTCTGAATGCTGAATCAAATGCAAAGTTGTGACTTAAAGGGGTACTAGTAGTCGGAGTAGACACTGTAGGCTATAAATACAAATAGGCAGACTTGTATATACAGAATCAGTGCAGGAGAAGGAGTCACTATTCTAGATACCATCTTTTCCCTACTACTTTTGTATGATAGGAAAGAGGTTAAGCTACCAAGCACTAGTGTGTACACAAGTCCTCATACCACACACTTACATAACCAAAAAAACAGAAGGATCATTCATTAAAACTATGTCTTGGTACATGACTATTAATGTGGATGTATTACAGAGGCTATGATTTTTAATGTGTGCTGCTTTGCAGTACTATATTTCTTTTTTGAAACAATGTTCAGAAAAGACAACTAGGTACTGCATTAAAACCCCCTGATTTACCAACAGCACACAATCTATTTTGGCACCTTAATTATTTGTTATATTTTCTCTACAACTGATACAATGTAAATTATAACTTACCCGCTATCTTTTATAGCATTTATAAACTCCACTCAGTGGCACAGCTTTGGTATACATTAATAATTCATTTCAACTACTAGACATAAATCTTCCTCGATTATGGTTTGTTATGGGGAATGTTTTATAGGCTGTAAATATTACTGAGCAGTGACATACAAACCATGTGGCTATTACCAGGCCAGATATAATTCCTACATTTATTAGAAAAACACAAATGAGCACAATCATCAAACGTGAGAAATTCATGGCTAGATTCCCATCATCTCTGCAGAGAGTGCTACATTGTTTTTCAGGCAATGATAACATTATTTTCCCTTTTACCAACACTGGCAACTCTGACACAAACGTGCTTATATAATTGCTTTATTCGCATATTCTGGCATCATTTAATTAATGACTGTTACTAACAAGATAATAGTACATTCTGCTGAGTGTAACCATGCTGAGTATAACCATCCAGTTCAAGACTTTATGCAATTCCATGACTGGATACATTTTAACAAGCGATTCCAGCAATCCTGATCATTGATATCTGGGTGGTTTCACAGCCCCTTTGATTCACAGCAGGTTGCTGAGTATAACCAAGTTGCAGTTTTTATTTCAAATGGTTCTACTTCTCCAGTCTGCCAGATTCATCAGTAGTCCCAAGCAGTGGTTGGTGCAGCTAAATATATCCCAGCTAATTCGCAACCCCTAGCATTCACAGGGAGCTAAGAAATCTAACTCTGTGAGAAATCCAGGTCCTACTTTGTTAGGAATCTTCTGTATACATTATACAGCAATTAAACCAATTAAAAACAACAACTACAGCCATCCACCATCACTACAGAGTACATTGTCTCTGATATATAATGGTACAGTTTTTATTTTATAAAAGTTTTGTGGGAATAATGCAATGCTGGTAGTACAATACTTTCACAAGAAATAAGTTCTTAGACTAATTTTCCAGCCAGGACATATGAACAACTCCCAGTCAAGTAAATGGGAGTGGTCTATAAATACAGAGGCTGGAGTGTTTTTCAACTCTTGGAAGTTCTCCAAGTTAGTTTGTAAACTATGCAGATACCATATTTTAAGCACAATATAACTGGGTACAATTGATGTTATTGATCCATATATTAGTATATTAGCAAGGTTGTCTGTAATTTTGTGGAATGGCTTTGATGGTATTGTCTTCAATATTACAAGATTGACTCAAGAGTTCTTGAAAAGTGTTTCTTCCATCTTGAGTTGATGATGCGGCTGTCTTTAAAGAGTGTTGGACCTCAGAAAAATGGTTCCTTGTGCGCTTAGTACCTGAAGAAACTACTATGTGTATTGAGTCTGTCCTCAAACTTTTGAATCTCTGTTGCCTTGTCCTCGTACCACTTGTTCTTTCACACACGGTTTTTTCTCTCGCTCTCAAGGTTTAATATGGCAATAAATTTCTTGCTTCTGCTTGGAGTTGATGTCATCCTACCAAGCTTTGAAGGCTCTTCTTATTCTGCCAGGGAGAGCTGGAATTTCCCAATCATTCCCATCAAATTGATCCTGATATTTCTTTGTGGAGAAGCCTAGAGATTCTTTACACATCTCATGGATGCCTTTCTTGAACTCTCGTAGGCTGCTTGCAGACGTTAAAGCCCTCCTCTCCCCCCCAAGCTATAACTTACCAGAAGACACAGCGTGTTACTTTGAATCTATACAGATGCTGCAGAGCTGGGTCAATCAGCTATTAGCTAAATGTGCCAAAAAAGCCCCACTAAAGCTTCTGATCTATACAGATGTTGGGCAAGTGGGGTCAAACTAACAGGCTGCCTCTTCTGGGCATGCACTGAGCTCCGCATGGGGGCACATGGAGTTTAAAGTAAAGCACCGGGTTTGTTTCTTAGCATCTGCAAGCAGCCCTAGTGATCAATGGTGTCAAGATCACCAAGGAGGTCAGACAGCTTTTCACTAAGGCACTGCTGAAGACTATTTTTAGCAGGGTCTTTCAAACACTCGATATTGAACTTCTTCCTTGGTAGCTTCTTTTGTTCATGTCATTTTGGGATGATACAAATGGATATGACTGAACATATCAAATGATGATCTGTCCAGAAATCATCTGCACCAGTCATTGCTCTGGTGATATGGACATCACAACAATCCTGGGCATGCACTACGACATAATCAGGTGCCAGTGTTCTAAGTGGGGATGCATATCTTCCATTTGTTGCTTTGGTGGAATAAGGAGTTTGTGTTGATGAAATCATGTTCTGAATGCTCATTCAGGAGATGTGTAAGTATGACTGTATATGTAGAAAAAGACCATACTTTGGGTGGTCTGGCAAACCTCATGGGGTCCATGGAGGAGGTTTTGTGTACGGAAGATTGGAGGAAAATGTCATAGGATAGCACAAAGTGAAATATTTACAAGAACCCAACACATTGTAAGTACAAAGTATGAATAAATTCAGTCCTACAATGGCATATTCCTTTAAAGACATCTGTCAACTTTTTTTCTGAGATTCAACTAAATTAGTGAGGTTAAACGTAGTCTCATGAAGGATGCATGCTTGTGCAACAAACTGCTAGAACTCCAGCCAATCAAGGAATATTTAACCCTGTTTGCATGTGCACATATTTAATATAATGCAAATGTAAAACTGGACTAGTCCTGTTAACAAAACATTACATATGATGAAGTGAAGATACCTATGAGGATAATTATGAAAAAGCCGGGCAGCATTTGGGACAAAGGAGGGAATGGTTGTAATGACTGAATGGCATTGCTAAGCCTCACAAAAAAT